TTTAAGTTTGGAAAACAGTCATTTTCTATACAGTGCCCTCCTCATTAACTTGCAAATGAGAAGAGACATGTAACAAAAGTGGACCAGAGCCCTCAAGCCAATAACTGCAGCCTGTATGATTAAGTAACTTTTTCTGCATTCATGGTATAAAAGGAAGGTTAATCTCAAGAGAAAGATTAATCATTGAACAGCTTTTTGTGGATACCCTCCATCCAAGGAACATGGGAATAGTACTGAGAGAGATTTTAAAAGTTAAAAATAATTTACTTGGAAAAATAGCCAATCAAAGGCAAAGGGTGCTGGTTCTATGTAGCTAAGCAGTAAAAAAGCAGACGTAGATCAAACTAATAGATAAGACACTGCTGTGATTTAAGGGGCGATTATAATTTGAAGAGATTATAATTAGTTGCCCAAACAAAATTTTGTGCAAATTAGAAAAAACTGCCCCTTCATCCAGATGTTTTTATTGTCATATTCTGGAAAATTTGTTTATGTATAAACAAACCTCTGCTGTCTGCAAACGAGAGGGGCCCACTTAGAGTTGTGCAATGTACAAATTGCACAACAGTCTATGGCAGCCCTAAATATGAAGAAATTTTCTTCGGATTTATATTTATTATATATACAATATTAAAACGTCATTAAGCAAACAATTTTTCAGAAAGTACTTTTTACACATGATTTACCAAGCCAACATATCAGTTATTTTTAATTTTTCCAAGTTCCTTTCTAGTCTCAACCAATGTGCACATATATTTTTAAAAAGTATTGCAATGGCAATGAGTATGCAACTTTCTACTTTGATTTTCCCACTTAAAATAACAGAAATAACATTTTTTTGCATTGCCCTATGGTCTTTTTAAAAATGATTTGTTATATATTATATCAAGTGAATATATCATAATGAATTTAACCATACATATTTTGTAATTTGAGGAATTTTAAGCACCATGTTATGACTGATAATATTCTATACATAAGGGAAAAAGTTACATTGAAAACTTTTGGAAAGAGGAGTTGTTTATATGGTAGAACCAGGTGAAATGATAAATATTCTTCCAAACAATCATACCAGGATGAATATTTTATTGGAATATGGCTAATAAAGAATTTGTATCTGGAATCTTTTTTTGTTGGTCTAGATTATATTTCCCCATTTGTGTTTACACGGTAATGACCCACTGTAGGATGAAACCTCTGGAGGTGCACTCCACATCGACACAGTGCAACAGGCTACACTGCAGGGAAGCAATGGGGTGTAGGGGGAAGCATGTGGGTTTTGGAATCAAATAGACTTGGACTGCTGTGCTTTGAGATGTTGTGTTCCACAGAAAGACATGTACAAGAATGCTCACAACAGTTTTATTTATAATAGCACAAAATAAGAAACAGCCCAGATGTCCATCAATAGGAAAATGGATACATAAACTGTGGTATATTCATGGAACACCATTCAGCAATAAACAGATCAGACTGCTAATACACACAGAAACATAGATGAATCTCAAAATTATGCTCAGTGAAAGAAGATTTACACCAGAGTGCATACTCTATGGTTCTATTCTATAAAGATTTAGAACAAGCAAAGGTAATCTATGTGGGAAAATATCAGAACATTGGTTGCTTCTAGAGGCTGGAGTGGGAATTTACTCAGAAGAGAAATGAAGGAACTTTTTGGGATGATGGTCATATTCTATAACTTGATAGGGGTTTGGGCTGGACATGCTTATATGTTTTTCTAAACACATTTATTGGTACCTTTAGGATTTGTGCACTGCATTGTATGTAGAATTCGCCTCAAAGAAAAAAAAAGAATATAAACATGTACTGAACTCTAGTTAATGATATGTATGCTGGAGTATTTCAACTTACTTTGAAATGCATAAAAACTAACATGATCAATGGATGGCTAGAGGGACTGGTATATAGATAGACAGATGAACAAGCAAGCATCGTAAAATGTTGATTATAGAATCTAGGTTTTCCTGTATGATTCAAAATTTTCATAATGTTGGAAAATGTTTTTTCATCTTGGACATGTTTCATAAACTTCTCAGTTTCAATTTCTGCAAAATGGAGGAAACAGTGTTTACTCCACAAAGTTGTGAAGTTTAAAAAAGATTGCCATGAAAATAAGCTTGTTATATGGTAGATGTTCACATACCTTGTGATGCTGTTTGTCTTCCCTTTCATACCCTCTTCCCTGCTTTGTCAGCTTATAAGGCATGAGGGGTGTTTTGGATTTGGTAGCATTGCCCATGAGCATTGGTCTAAAATGGTACATAGCAAAATTATTTGGGTTTTGAAAAATGAACTACGTGTTGTCTGCTGATTATACATTCCTTGAGTGGAGGAACAGCTATTAATAGTGGTAGTGGCTCAAACTCCAGGGAGGAAGGACAGCCTGTGGTGATATTTGCTCTAAAGGGATTGGCAGAAAGCAGAGAGGAAGGACAAAATACTATAGGCAATCATGGGTTTGATATTGAAAAATGAAATAATTATTTAGCTCAATAGAAGGTCGATGTGTGAGCCCTCGTTTATTTAACAAATATTTATTGTCTACTGCTGGTATTGTGCTAAGAGCTGACGATACAGAGATGGACAAATGTACAAAACAGACATAGGTGCATGTCCTCTTGGAGCGTATGTTCCAGTAATGCTAAAGTTCATTGGATTTACAGGGATCAGTCTGTTATCCAGAAAATATTTACTGAGTATTTACTGGAAATTCCATAATAAACCAAATGAACATGATCCACATTCTTGTGGAGCTTATAATCTATCAGAAAAGGCAGATTTAATCAAATCACTGCACATAATTATAGTAGATGCATTCTAAGTGTGCAAAACACTGGAAAGGAGAAGCACAGTGTTCTTAATGGAAACTGGGGCAGAGAGAATATCCCCCTCTAGCTGGGTGAAAAGAATTTTCCCCTTAAACTTTTCTCTGGGCTAAGAAAATGCAATGAACACAGAGCTTGAGATAGCCAGTGGCCCATGTCAGGTCAACAATGGAACAAAGAACAGAATTAGGTGCAGCAGAGGGCGATGTGGTCAGTTGCATTGTTTGCTTATTGTTTTTGACTTCTGGTTGGCTTATGATGCCTATGGAGCTCCTGTACAGTCCCGTTACAGAAAGCAGAGTGAGAATTGTTGAATTGCTTGCAACCGTAGTATAGTATTCTGGAGTCGGATTTATCTTCTGCCTAGTCAAATGCCACTGCAAACACCCTAACACTCCCCTGGTGACAAGAAGCTGCTAGAGACAGATCTTGGGATCACAAAACAAAGCAATTATACAACTGACCCATTGCAAGAACATTTTCCCCACTAAGGCATTGGTTCTGAGCAGAAAGAAGATAGAAGCCAAGAGAATATGGAGAACTGATGAGAAATATGTGTGTTTCACAGATAAAAACTACCACCCCTATAATTATAATGCACCCTGTGAACAAATATACTCAGTTACCTAAACCATCATTGCATTATGCACTCTTTAGCGGTGACAAGCTGATCTGTGGGATTCTGAACTTCTCACCCTCTTAATCAGAAGGGGGCTGGGCTACGCTTGGAGGAATTCCATTTTCCAGCACTAACTGCAGACATACAATAGGTGCATAATAAATACTAGTTGAATTATTATTGGTTTGTTTTCATTTGCTACCCAATTCTCTGAAGGGTAAGAAAAATACAGAAATATCTAGTGATGAGCAAAGGAAATATACAAATGATAAGTTAATTTAGAGCTTTGTTGTGATCCCGTCAACATGCTGAAAGTAAGTTCAGTCTCTGCCTATACAAGCACAAATTCACTTCATTGTCTAGAGCTAAAAGCCATATTTCATGGCATATTCTTAAGGTCATGAAGGGCTGAAAGTGGAAGAGGCTGAAAAAATCAGAGAAGGACAGGCTGGGAAGTTAGGAGACAGCAGAACTCTGGCATTAGATCTCCTGGCTTCATAATCTCAGCGCCACCACTGACTAGCTGGGAAACTTCAGGCAAGTTACCCAGCCTCCATTTCCTCTTCGGGAACATTGGTACCTGCCTCACGAGTTTTTTCACAAGAATCATTTGAGTTAATGCCCTTAGCACAATTCCTGACACATAATAAGTGCTCCTTAAATGTTCGTTTTTACTGAGTGATTTTCTAAGATGATCTCAATTTCCTCTACAAGGTTTTTCATTAAATATGATTTGCTAAATATATAACTGAAGGTAAAATGTCATAATATTGTAAGACTTTTTATATAAATATATTTAAAAATCAGAAAAAAAATCTTCTCTCTGATGGCCTGATTTTATTTCAGATTATATGACCACCACACCTCCACAATGGGTCATTTAGTCTGGTCTCTCTGAATTGGGAGTGCAAACATGCAACCTGACAGAAGATTCAGGGTTAGTTCTTCTCTTAAAGACAATTATGCCTTATAAAATGGATTACTTTGCTATAATCTCAGGATATAAAAAATCTACAGAATCTATACATTCTGAATTTGTATATGCATGGTCTCAGGCCTTGGAGAGAGAGGTATAGAAAGTGTTTACTTAGATCAAAATTAGGTTGAAACAATAAAGATATTTTATGCTTTGTGTAAGTTGGTAAATGCCATGACTCTGGGAATACCAGTCCTGCTGAAAAATTGACACACCTTCCCTTCTGGTATGTCTTTGCATAAATTTGTTCCTCTCTCTGCAAGATTAACTGATACCATCTATGAGTATTCTATCCCCACTCTCAGCTTGCATTTAAATCTGCATGTTTCTTTTCTCTGCCTCTTTTCAAAGGTGCAGGAATACAAGAGCTACCCTTAGCTAAGGGCCAAACACTACGTCTGAGCTCCTGTTCCCAAGTCTTTTAACCCCTTGTTTCCCAACCCTGCATCCAAAGGCAAAAACAATCCTCCGACACACACGGCCCTCCCCTTGCCTGTGATAGGCTGCTGGGAATAGCAACAGCCTGTGTCACCGAAAAGGGCAAAGCCTTCGGAAATAGAAACAAAGTTGGTCACAAATCACATTGGCTTTGCCCGAAGTTTTTCCCCTCTCTCTGCTTTAGCATGCTGTCATGGGGAAAGTGACCGCTCCCGTCGGCAAGGCAGGTCGGGGTGGTTTTCTGGCGAAGGAGAAGCTGTAACTTACTTCTACGTGACCATGGTACCTGTTGAAAACACAGAGGGCCCCAATCTGCTGGACCAGAAGGGGACAGAGGCGGTGGCGAAGGGCACCTACCCAGCCAGCGGCGGCCGGCATCCTCCCTGGGCGAGAGGTAAAGTGAGACTGCGTGGCTCGGGCGACCCGCTAGGGGAGCACGCTGTACTCGCGTCTCCCTCGGGGTGTGTGTGTGTGTGTGTGTGTGTGTGTGTGTGTGTGTGCATGCGCGTGCGCGTGGGAGCGCGCTGGATGCGTGCAGAGAAGGGACAGTCTGGTGGGACGTGGGGTGCCTCGGAGCTGTAGTGTTGTGAAGACTGAAGTCTTGTTGAGACCTATGCTCAGAAAATCTGAGTTACATACCCACCACTGGTAGGATGGGTCCCGTTGATTGTGTTTACATAATGCAATGTATGAATCTTTTCCATTTTGGAGAGGTCGACCAAGATAGTAAACACTCACAGGCATGCACAAACACACGTACGCAGACACACACTTCCATTTATTGTCACCAATGGATAATATGTAATAAGTAGACGTTGTAACCACCGTTTTTTTTTTTTAAATCAGTATTTTGAGTAGGCTTCATAAAATTATTAGTTATGTAATCAATGGACACAACTTCCTTTTAAAATTCCCAGCACGTTTGTAATGAATTTGAGTGTTATTCAGAGCCTGAAACGCCTGCCTTGCTGGCTCCTGCGTTCTTTAAAACTGGCTTTTTGAACTGAGGTTTGTTTAATACCTTTTCCTTCCAGAGGTGAGATTTGGAGGTTTCAATTCATTTCAGTTATCTTTGCTAAATCAAAGACTTGTCTTGACTTCCACATTTAGAATTTCCCCAAACACGTTGCACACGTTTTGCTGCTTCTTCCTGTTCATTTAGTTTGTTCTCAAAGGAATTGAAACTAAGTGATATGAAATGACATCAAACACAAATAATCCTCTCCTTCCTACGACTGTCCTCAGCTCTGCTCCTCCTAACCAGGCACGACATCCTCGAGCTATGTATTGGGATTTCATGCAAAATCCAACATACTAAATGATACAAAAGGCATTGGGCTTTCCCTTGGAACTGATCTTGGAACTGAACCCACGACCGTTCACACCAAGGCATGAAGCATCCCCTCCTCGGAAGGGCAGAAGCCCTTGACCTTCCCTATCCTGCCCCTGCCTTCTCTTGCTTTCTCATTTCCCATCAAGAATGAGTATCTGGGGCCATCTTTCAACATGGCCTGCCCTCTCTAACCCAGAGCTGCCCTTTCCCTAAGCGCTTGCTTCCTCACTAGTTCACACATTCCCTAAGAGCAGGCAAGGGAAACTTGTATTTGGGGATAAAGAGAAAGAGTTGCAAAGTTCTTTTCTTCCAATTCCTGGGAAAGTGAGCTGCAGTGTAGACTGCAGAGCAAGCTGAGGTGGTGATGTCAACAAAAGACTTAACTAATAGAGTCAGTGATCATGTCACAAGGAAGATGAAAAGAGACTATCCAGGAAGGGCCTTTGCAGTAACCATTAAAAGTTGACCATTGAATTTGTATATGGCTTTGAAAGCACAGTGTACTCTTAGTAGCTTATATTGTACAAGTTCAATTATCCTGAAGGAAGCTAATGTGTATTTATGTTTGTAAAAGTTGAAGACACTCACAAAATTCAACTTAAAGTGCAACCGTTTATGTTGTTGTAAAGAAATGACAAATGAACAAGTATTATAAAGTACTTTCAAATTTAATTTTAAATTTTATTATGTAGGAGAGGAAGCCTAAATGTTTCCCTAAAATCATGGATGAATACAACTTTGATTTGTGCTACATATAGTTTGCATTTATTTTATTTTATTTTTTTTGAGACAGAGTCTTGCTGTTGCCCAGGCTAGAGTGCTGTGGCGTCAGCCTAGCTCACAGCAACCTCA